AGATTGCCCCATCTTCCTTTCATGGAGCAGCTGGTGGGTTTGAACCGCTGACCTTGTGGTTAGCAGCCAAATGCCTTACCCACTATACCACCAGAGCTCCTTATGAATATATATACATATCTATTAATATTTTAAAATATATGTTTAATTTAGGTTCATTTGTTTGTTTTACTTTTGATTTTTAGGGATTGCTTTCAACATTTTTTTATTTTGTAATTATGTAAAATGTTTATATTGTTCCAGCGTTAACTATACAAAACTATGCATTCAAAGAAATCTAGTTTCTATCCCTGTACCTTCCATCTTATTCCGTATCTCTCCACACAGATAACCATTTTTAAAAATGTGGTTTATCCTTACATAAATTAAACCGAATTAAACATTAATTTATAATATATTCTATGGGGGAAAAGACTGCAAAAAACCCCACATAGACATCATATTATTGAGGTGATTGATACTGGTATCATCATTCTGAGACCAAGAGAGAATAAGCAAGTAATCACGTGAGTATCATTTTACCACACCTGGTATTGCTGAGAGTCAGGGATTCCCACCTGGGAGAAGGTAAAGCTTAGATTAAGAAAAGAACATGTAGTCCTGAATTTGAACTAGAAGTATTTCTTTAGTTAAATAACAGACTGGCTCATAAAATAAAGATTATTACCCACGAATAATGAGCTCCTTTATAGAATCACGTACATGAGATCAAATGGTCAAGAACTGCTCTAACGCAAAGATGAGCAGGTGAGGAGCCAGGGAAACTAGAACGCTGGAAACAGTACCACTAGAACAGGGTCAATGTGAGTGATAACACATTATGGAAAATGTAACTGATATCACTGAGTAATTTGTGTAGAAGTTGTTAAATGGGAACCTTATTTACTGTTAAACTCTCACCTTAAACCTAATAAAATATTGCTTAAAAAAAGAAATACCTATAAAATGCATGATGAAATTTTTAATAATTTTTATTGTGATTTGGGTGAAAGTTTACTGAGCAATTTCATTTTCCATACAGCAGTTCACACATTTTGTCTCATGACATTGACTGGGATTTCTCACAACTTAACAGCTCCCTTCCCTCTTTAGCCCCACAGTTACTTCTTCCCTGTGTCCTT